AGACAGACAGATAGACAGACAGACACATAGATAGACAGACAGATAGATAACCTCACCAGGAAATTAGCAGGTCAGTATTCTCAGGTTTTCTTCCAAGAGAGACAGCAGGGATGTATTGGAACATCAAAAGGGAACAAAGTAGCCCAAAGGAAAGAGATTAGCTGATCAGGCGGCCTAATCAAAGGCAAGGAAGCCTCAAGGCAGTAACACACTTCCAGCCCTTCTAATCCAGGAGGACTCCATAAAAGAAGCTAAACCTCAGTATTCCACTACAGAAATAGAGAAAGCCCCTTCTCAAGGGTACGCTTGTCAGCTGTTGGGCTCCAGTCAGGATGGCAAACTCTATTTGCCAGCCTCCAACCAATGAAGGTTTTTGTTTTTATTTTTTGTTTTTGTGTTTTGAGACGGAGTCTCACTCTGTCACCCAGGCTGGAGTGCAGTGGCGCCATCTCGGCTCACTGCAAGCTCCGCCTCCCGGGTTTAAGCGATTCTCCCACCTCAGCCTCCCGAGTAGTTGGGACTACATGCACCTGCCACCACGCCCAGCTAATCTTTTGTTGTTGTTGTTTTTAGAAGAGATGAGGTCTCATCATGTTAGCCAGGATGGTCTCCATCTGCTGACCTCGTGATCCGCCCGCCTTGGCCTCCCAAAGTGCTGGGATGACAGGCGAGAGCCACCGCGCCCGGCCAGAGGTTCGTAAAATCCTTCACCAAAGCTTTTCACTTGGGAGAGGATAAAACGTATCAATGTGCTCAGAGATTTGTTTTCAGACAGAAAAACCTCTCAACTGGGTAAGCATGTAACCTCTCTAGCTCACTTCCAACAAAAATTAACCCAAGTACCAGAACGGCAACCCCAGGAAATAAAACCACCTTTATCTCACCCAGGAAACCTGGTGTTAGTGAAAACTGTCATCTCTCTCCTCCGCTAAGCCAAGCTGGGAAGGGCCCTAACCCTGTTCTTCTCGAACCCTCTCAGCAGTGAAAGATACTGTAATGAACGCCTGGATACATCACGCTCAAGTCAAAGCCTGACCCGCTGAGGGCACAAGCCCTGACAGCCCAGCGGAATGTCCTGAAAAATAGGGGATCTTAGGCCGGGCGCGGTGGCTCACGTCTGTCATCCCAGCACTTTGGGAGGCCGAGACGGGTGGATCACGAGGTCGGGAGTTCAAGACCAGCCTGGCCAAGATGGTGAAACCCCATCTCTACTAAAAATACAAAACTTAGCCAGGCGTGGTGGCGGGCACCTGTAATCCCAGCTACTCAAGACGCTGAGGCAGGAGAATGGCTTGAACCCGGGACGCGGAGGTTGCAATGAGTCAAGATCGCACCACTGCACTCCAGCCTGGGTGACAGAGCAAGATTCCATCTCAAAAAAAAAGAACGGAAAAAGAAAAATACGAGATCTGAAGCTAAACCTCATTAAAAAAAAATAGCTAGGCATGGTGGGCGTGGTGGCTCATGCCTGTGATCCCAGCACTTTGGGAGGCCAAGGTGGGTGGATCA